GATTAACGCACCCTTGTTGTAGTAACACAATGACATACAAACAATTAAGTGATTGATCGGAGAGTGATTTTAACTTGCGGTACAGGGGTTAATGACGCAGGAGCCTGATCGATAATATAAATAAAGTGATTGTCAAATGATTCAAACTCTTTTAGCTTTCTAATTTTATTTGACGGGTGTATTATAGAAGCTTAATTTGAAGCGTAAAAATAACACATTATCTATTCGACTGCTATTCGACCAAATATTCAAAACTCTTTTTGAAAGTGTCTCAAAGGAGATAAGAACAAGAGGTAGAACTCTTTTTGAAAGTATCTCAAAGGAGATAAGAATGAGAGGTAGGTTTATCACGTTTAGTCACGTGTAGTCCCGCAACTACAATTTAGTAAAGCTAATAAATGGATAACAAATTAGACGATAAAACTCATACCTGCAAATATGAGTGATATTAAAAGTATAGAGATTATTGGCCTTTCCAATAACAACACAAGTGATGCTGAAGATATAGAAAACACGGATCACTTTGCTGATATTATTGAAGTAAACATGGATACTGGTTCTTCTCAAGTAACTTCAATTATCAGCAACGCTGAAAATGATGTGTCAAGATTATTTATTAGAAAAAAACTATCAAGTTGGGCATCGTGTGATTCATTTATTGTCGAATAGGGTAGAAGTAAGAGATTTAATGTAGTCAAGGATCATGTTAGCTGTGAAAATGATATTATCAGAAGGAGAACCTATGTTTGTGAGCATGGTCGGCGTTATGAATCCAACTCTAATAAAGAAACTGGCACCAAAAAAATTTTATGCTCATGGCACGTAAATGCCTCTTGTCCCAAATCAAGAAATCCAGTTTCTGCTATTTTTATCAATACATTTGTTGATAAATATAATCATGAGTTAAATGTTGATACTATCGCATTTGAACAAGAAAAAAAGTTTAGTAAGGAAATGTTGGATGATATAGAGTTTCTAACTAAACACTGTAAAATAGGTGCAACAATACAAAGGCGATATTTGGAAGGTAAATATCCTTCTAAACCC